TCTAGAAAATGCATAAAAATCAATGGCAATGAGTCAACATACTTGTCACACTGTGCTATAGGATTCCCTCATCTAGTAGACTGGCTTTTCAGACAACATACAAGCTGCACAGACAAAGAGGAATCAGAAGATCTCTCTCCTCTGTTTGCAGAAGCATTCAGTTAGCAGGGTTTCATTCTCAGCAAGCCTGGAACCAGCTTATTGTGTTTATACTGCTATGTGATACTAACGAGCAAGCAAATTCAGGGAAGCATCTATTTGTGTTCACAGTTTTCAGGCTTTGATGCTAAGTAATTCAGCAGTAGAAGGGATTTGTGTCTGAGTAGGCAGCCATAGAAATAGAAATTATAAATAAACAAATAGCCTCAGCCTCAATAGGGAAAGTAATTTCTATGTTAGAGAGCTTGTATCTAACACCAGGATGACTTTTCCCTTATTGATTAGGAAAAAATATTCTGGCATTTCTAGAATTTCAAAACATAGCAGTTGATTATTATTTTGCCTTTACTTGTGTACTTTATTGTAATGAGTGTGTGATGACTGAACAGCCCGCCTTTTTCTGTGAGCTACTACTGGTTTTCACAGCACGCATTTTGGCTTGTAATATAGTATGTTTTTGTTCTGCAGAAATTCTCAGAGGCCTGGCCAACTGTGCCTCCCCTCTTCCTGAGAAATTTAATTTCACTCTTGGAAGCTCTACCAATGATTGCAATCAAACTTACCTGGCGGGGGGGTGGGAGGATATGTATTTTGCCCTTGCTGTGGCAGCACATATGTGCTCCAGTAACTATACAGGGTCTAACATGCAGTGGCCAACTTCAGTGGCAAAATATTTCCAGATCCCAGCCCCTGCCCCCTCCCCCCAAATATAAGAATCTTTTAATCCTGCTAATGGGGGCAAGTGTATGTTGCTTTCCTGCTTTCTGGATACTGTTTTAAAATTGTGATAGGTATAGATACAGATTCAGATTCAGATACAATGTGTGTATGTGTTTGTATATAAATACATTTGGTAAGTGTCCTTTTAGCAACCATAATATATCCAGATTTGGGGAAAACACTTTGAAGAGGAAGTTAGGAATTTAAGATTAGGGCTATAAAAATATAGGCACTGCATTTTAACCCTGGTCAAAACTATAGTTTTTTGGTTGTAAATGGTAATTATAAAGGTATTAGTTTATCCTGCAGTACTTTGTTGTTGGACTGATTCTCAAAAAATCTTAAGTAAATATGAATGAAACTGGAAAACAATTGAAAAGAACCAGCATTACACAGAGCGGAGAAATATGTTAAAGGAACATACTTTGGGGATGGGTAGAATATAATAATATCAAAAAGAGAGGTAACTCTATTTTCCCAGTTAGATTATAAATTACATAGAAAGGAAATAAAACTAAACCCAGAAAGCAAACATTATAAGTATAAAAACAGAAAATGATGTATTTATTGCTCTTCTGTATTTTACTTGAAGGCCTCAGCGTGGATCGTCCCTGTGCCAGGGCAGTAAAAGTAGACTGTCCGTATCAACTATCACAGGTTACAGCCAGAAATAATATAATTTGGGCATTAACTGAGCAGCGTGTACTTCTCTTTCGCGAAGGTATAAGCAGTTTCTGTCCTGAAGGAGAACAGTGGAAATGTGATATCATAAGGTAAACAGTTTTTAATCAGTAGGCATGTCCTGTAACAGTTCTTGATTTTGCAAGGACCAGCATTTTCATCATCTTGGTTTGGACTTGCATGTGTTAATTGCATCACATGAAAAGATAGTTTCCCAACCAGGACATCAGGTTTTATTGATTTTTTGTTAAATGGTAGAAAAAGTGTTGTTTTGAAACTCAGCAAAAGAGGGAAAGAATGCCTGTTAAGTTATACCAGTTAACATTTACTTTTTTTCAGGCTTGGATTGAACACCATACACAATTATTATTACATCTTGATAATTAGAGTTATATGCATATTTTATGCTTAAAGCCATAGAACCAGATAATTTTATTGATTTATTTATTTGAAGAATTTATATGGCCACCTATCTCACATAGTGATTCTAGGTGGCTCACAACAACCAATAAAAACAATGGAATAAAAACAGAACAACCCTTCCTACGAGGTGCCAGACCAATCAAACTCTTGACCTCTTGACTCAACCCCATCCTAGCCCAATGCTTGGGGGAAAAGCCAGGTCTTCAGGGCCTTCGGTGAATAATGAATTCTGACCCAAGGAAAGGCAGGCTCTGTTATCTGTCTCAATTTTGCAAATTGTTCATGATTGGCTGCTAACAATTGTATAGTTGGTTATGCTAGTAGCTCTTTCAAGACTTGAGCAGATTGATTAGCTTTTTAGATTATATTTAAATTTAGCAATATTTAATTTGCACTAAGTAGTGTTTGGATATCTTTAAGATGAGCAATGGCATGATCAAGTAATAAACATTGTTATAGCCCATTGATATCAGTGGAATGTAAGTTTCAGTCTCCTTCAATAAAATTTATCTGCAAATATTAAATTGTGCCCATTGACTAAAGTAATACATTATACCACGGCATTTTGATTTTAACGTATTGAACTGTAAATAAATAGAATGAGAATGTACACAGATTCCACTATGGGCGGTGTTTTTTGAGGAGGAGGAAGGAGTACTTTCTGTAAGCATGTTAGTAAGCCCTGGCAACAGCCATCTGCTATAATCCCCTCTAAAATCGACAACTGCAATGTATTTTATGTCGGGCTACCTTAAAAAATTGTATGGAATCTGCAGTTGCTGCAGGCTGCAGTGGTCCATTTACTACTGAGATCCACCGGTGTCATGTAACAGTAGCTTTACAGTCAATATGTTGGCTTCCAGTAGGCTTCTGGGTACTGTTCAAAATTATGTTGACACCCCCCCCCACCTTACTGAGATCCAGATGGCACTCTCCCTAAAGAGATTCAGAAAGGCTGTTAAAATTTAGCTTTTCTAATGAACTTTTAATTAGCATTAAATATTTATGATTTTAAAACTGAGCATGATAGTGTAATAGGGACACAGCAATATTTGTGTTTTGAATTTAATGATTTTATGTTCAGTCTTGTAAACTGACAGAAGTCCTTAAGGAATTGGTTGTATAAATATTGTAAATAAATAAGTGTTGCTTGCTTTTGCAGTGAAATGCAAGGTCTAGAGCCGGTGTGTATTACTCTTGGAGACCAACAGACCATATGGGTTTTAGATATCCATGGGAATCTGTGGTTTAGAACTGGTGTTGTTTCAAAGAAACCACAAGGGGATGACAACCACTGGTGGCAAGTAGGCATTTCCTATTCTATTTCTAGTACAAAGGGGGCTTACTTGGTGGTGAGGCTCAGATCTCTTACATGCATGCATGACAATATCCTGGATTCAAACCCAGCTAAAACATCTCAGGAAGTAGATTTGGGGAAGATCTATATGATGAAACCTACCAGAGCTTGCCTTCCTAAGATAGTGATGAAATCCTGCTTCATTTGCTAATTAAACCTAGATATGCATTGGATGTCTTGTTTCTCTCTTTTGTAGGGATACACTCATAAATCTGTATGATGTTTATTATCAGATTCTGGATCTAGAACTCCAGCCTTGATAAGATAATTACCCAAAATGAGAGAAGGGAGTCTTGATATTCTATCAGTAGAAAAGTGGTAACATTCAACCAATCAATAAGCTTTATTACCTTCATTGAACATTTCAGAAAGAAAAAGAAAAAAGGAAAGAAGACAATTCTGAGACAAAAAATAAAAATCATAACAAAACTAATAATTATAAAACATATTTTACAAATAGTAAAACAAAACTTAGCCACATTCAAAATGGTAACATTCATTTAGACATCACAGAGGAATACATATGTTAGAAAGTTGTAAAGACACTGAAGGTACAACAACATTGTAATAATGTATTTATATTCTACCTTTCTATTCTGGCAAGCAATTAAAGCACCATATAACAAAATGTAAAACCAAAATAGAACATAAAAATGTAGAAATACAGATTAAAAATTATAAAATACTAAAATTATTTAACAAAGTCTGATGAAAGATGTGCATCTTTACCGATTAACTAAACTTAAGATAGTGGAAACCAAACTATCCCCCAAGGGAATGAATAACAGTTTGGCAGCTACATAGGAGAAGGCCTTTTCCTATGGTTCCAGAAAAATAAGCCTTGAATGCAAAGCATCTGCAAGTGGGTGATGATTTTAATAACCACATGTTTGTAATTAGACTTTAGTAAAAGTAAGATGAGTGACAGCCAGTTTGGTGTAGTGGAAGGCATCAGGCTAGAAACCGGGAACGGCGAGTTCTAGTCCTGCCTTAGGCACAAAGCCAGCTGGTTGACCTTGGGCCAGTCATTCAGCCCTAGGAAGCAAGCACTGGCAAACCACTTCTGAAATCTTGTCAAGCAAACTGCAGGGATTTATTCAGACATTCACCATGAGTCAAGATTGACTTGAAGGCACCCCCCTCAAAAGGAAGTTATTTAAATATTTAATTTCACAATGTAGCATTCCCTTAGAATAGCCTTTACCAACCTAGTGTCTTCCAGTTGAATTGAACTTAGTCTCCTGCCAGCACTGCATACTGTGACATGTGGATGTTACCAGGTTGAGAAATGCTTCCTAAACTTAGTTACTCTCAATCACTCACTTTTTTGGTGGCTTCCATGGCTTAAGGTGGCTGTATCTTTTTGAGACTTTCCATCTAGTTTTGGCTGGACTAGCAGGTTACAGTATCTGGGAGTTCTTGTCAAATACAGGATTTTTGTCTTGCATCTGTCTTGCACATTCCTTTTTTTAAAAGGGTATGTTGGCCCACTTGCTGTCAATACAGCATCCAGTTTGTTGAGCAATTATGGTATCTCTTTTGTTCTAAAGGGACTGTTAAATCTCCTGGGCTATTTCCAAGCTACTCAATGTTCTTGTTAACACATCACACAGCTCACTGTAGAACTCTTAACAGTTTTTACTGTCCTACTTCCAAAGTGTAAAATTGAAATAAATCACATGCAAGGCATCCAGAACTCTGAATGATACATTTTTGCATGCCAGGTCTTCCCCCGCCCCCATCCCACCAAAGTCAGAATAATTGCAAATTTGAGATGTATTCCAGCCAGAATGAAATACTTTAAGTCTTCCAATTCCACCTGAAGAAGTAGAGCGATGCATACATTTTCATATTAAAATCAGTCTTGAAGGGCTGGGTACCAACTGGGGTCATGTGTTTTTCATACTTCCTAAAAATGTGAATGATGAAAGGCTGTATGCTGTCAGAAAGAAGTTGTTCCTCTTGGTGGAGTCTTTCTGTGATGTGACAAGAGAGGTCTTAATGTTCTCTGAAACTGATTTAGTCCTTTTGTGTATTTGACACCCCCAGGTAAGCATTACAGATTATGTTGTATTTGACCAGAGCAGCCTTTTCCAGACAATAATCCATGCAACCCAAACAGTAGCAACGGCAGCCCAGGCTCCTGTTGAGAAGGTGGCAGACAAACTGCGCACAACTTTCTGGTCACAACAGCTTCAGTGTCAGCCAAGCTTACTTGCAGTCAACAGCAGTGGTGTCTGGATTTCCTCTGGGAAGAATGAATTTCATGTAGCAAAGGGAAGCCTCATAGGTAAGTGCATTTTTGTTGCTGAGGTTGCTTTTAAACTTGACCGGTTAGTATATGCACATTTAACAATGCAATGATGTCTTCTATTCCTACCAATTATTTCAAAGTAGAAAATGTCTAGACACATTTATTTTGAGCAGTAGTGGTTAATAATCGTATCCAGTGCACCATTCCTGGGCATAGTACATACTATCCAACCCCTACATCACTTTGTGAGTGGAAGAGGCATGTGGGAATCAGCAAACATATAGAACTCGGCTGTATCATAGCCAAGCATGCAGAGCCTGATGCTTCTTTCCTGACATATACTCCTGTGGCCTAGTGTCCAGTGTTGCCATCTCTGTTATTACATTTACAGTATATTATTCTGTTTCTCCAGAGACCTAAGTAGCTCACAAAGGATTTCCAGGCAGTTATTTTTTTCTGGGTGCTGGCCAGACCCAATCTTGCTTAGATTTAATGAGGTTGCTGCATCATGTACCTTCAAGCCAAGAACAAATACAATGTATGCATGTTGTGCTGAGCTGCCAGATTTTAAATAAAAAAAATACGTAAAGGATGCTTGTGGTGGAGGTATGAGTCCTATCTAGGATATTTTCAGTTCACCTGAGACCTGTTCTGTATTTACATTTCAATTATGTGTAGTTCAGTTAATCTTCAGAAACTCTTTGTACTGTATGTAAAAATGAAAAAAAGAAAGAAATCTGCCTTGCTTATAGTAGCTTAAAACTGAACTAGAATATTGTGAAGTGGTTTATATATCAAGCAAAATCCAAGTTATGTATAATGACATTCTAATATTCTACATTGGTTTGGTACTGATAACAGCAAAAGAAACTAAAATGCTTGAAGTTTCAAAATGTATTTCAGATACATCAGTAGGACTGGGTGTTAGATATCAGGATTCAAGATCCATAGGTGCGTTATTAGAGAATGAATTAATTTACTCAAAATTCCCACACCAGAGTAGGCAACCTCATTTCCTCCATATGTTTTGGCCAGTATGGCCAACAACAAGAAGTTGGGGTGTGTAGAAGGACAGACTGCCTGAGCAGATTAAAACCACCTGTGCTTCTTCCTCCCCTTCCTTTTTGGCCCTCCTCCATGACAACCCAGTTGCCAATCAAACAGAAGTGTATTACAATCCAAACTTTTGGGAGAGAAGGTAGTCTACTCCTGCTTTAGATTATCTAAACAGATCTTAAATCGGCTAGATTGGGATAGGAAACATTAGGGAAGGAACGATTACATAGCTCATTTTATACAAGAAAGTAATAGGTCAAACTGGATTGTAAAGAATATCTTGTTAGGGTGTAGAGGACAGAGGGAATGGCCTTGAAGGACAGGAGGAAGAGCTGCTACCAAGGCAATGGTCAGATAATAAGGACTTGACCCTGGGCCAATAAAATAACATGAAAAAATGTCTCAGACAAACCCCTCCTTAGTTCACATGAAGATAAGGTGAGGGAGGGGGAAGCACATTCAGACTTGTGAGATTCTGTTACTATAGCTGTTAGAATAAAAGTAATCCTGATTTACATAGCATTGGTTTCTTCGTGTGGTTACCTTGTTGGATTGACATAGGGTTATTACACATTGAACGGAATCTTCTTTCTGAATTCATAACAATTTTCATTATTTGGTCAAAATGAAAATTGAAATCCAGAATATGTGCTTTAAAATGAAAACCTAAAGAACAAAAATGGAATTTAACCATTACTCACTGCACATGGGGCAGGGGTGTGTTTTTATATTGATGGTCTTGCTGTTTTCTTTTGCAGGTACATATTGGAATAATGTTGTGCCTCGTGGCACTGCTTCAGCTACAAAATGGGCTTTCGTGTTGGCTTCTGCAGCTCCAGCAAAAGAAGGTTAAAAATAAGTGTCTCTGTGTGTGTAATGTATGCATATGTTTCTGCTAGGTTAAAGAAACATGTAAACTGACCTTTGCCACCATTTTGTTTATCCATAAAATAGTATTGGAATTGAATAATTTAAGAAAATGTTTAATTCTAAGTTAATATCATTAATACATAGCAAAAAGAAAGGGAATGCAAAATTGGAAATTCCTGCTCTTACTATAAACCTTTAATTTGCACTATGATTTAAGAACTTATAAAGGTCATTCTTGCCAGTCCCTTTAAACCATTGATTCACTCAGAATTCATATATTACATTTTATAAATGATTAAGTAAAACTATAGCTTTAAAATTTGTCATTTATTTTTATATGTCTCAATCCCTCCACATTTTAACTGCATCATCTTCAGTCTAAAGTTTTAAAGATATACTAAGTTTTCATATTACTATATTTTTCTCAGTGCTGTACAGCCTAAGATTCTTCTGTTAACAGTTTTGTTTTAGAACAGTGCCAACATATTATGGTAATTAACTAATTTTATGTTTATTTCCTGAGTATTAGAAATAAAATAAATGCTTTTATATAAACATAAACTATGGGATAAAACTTTTATATATTTTTATTAACTTAAAATTAATCCTCCCTTATGTGAACAAAATCAGCAGTCTGTATTGACTCATGCTCTGCTTGTTGGTTTCCCAGAAACATCTAGTTATTGTGGGAAACGGGATGCTGGGGCAAAGCAGCCACTGATTTGAAAGAATAGGATTCTTTTACAATTCTTAAAGAACTGTTTCTTAGCCTCAGGTTTTTTTTTACTGTAAACTGCCCAGAGTCGCTCTGTAGTGAGATGGGTGGTGACAAATTTGAAATATAAATAAAATATAAAAATAAAATAGGAATAACTTTGAAAAATCTTATAGGGTGTTTTAAGGTTTCCAAAGATTATGCCTGTGAAGTATACTGACTGCATTATGAAAATACTAATACTAGTTATATTAATATTATCTTAGAATACAGAATTTGCTTTATGTACAGGTACTGAATTATTTTTATAATGTTGAAGGTTTCTAGAAAGAACAGAGTTTACAGTGAAAACTTTGTCCTTCCTTCAGGAAGTTTCTTGTGGTTATCCCAAAGTAGCAAGGACCTGTTTTGTGTTAGTGATCAGAATACTCAGTTCCATCCTTCAACTGTTCAGCTACCTCCTGATAGTGAAATGGTATATTATTCAGCCTGCCGGGATGCGATATGGAGCTTGAATAGCCTGGGACAGGTCTTCATAAGGACACTTTCACCAAATTGCCCAACTGGGATGCATTGGACCAAATTGGACCTTACTCAGTTAGGTAAATCTAATTGTGTATTTTTAGAAAATTCTTAGCTGAAATGCAAATAATCGAATGGTATCTTCTGTATAACTGTTAAGTGTTTACACAGAATTGTTCTGAGATTTGAAATGTAATGATAATTAAATATGGACAAATTATCATAAGTTTTTGAAACTCATGCCATATTGGCTACAGAGAAAGGATATGACAAAGAGACAATCAGTTGTGTTTATAGAAGAGAATGTTCAGTATTTTCAGGAAGAGGGATAATGATGTCAAGGCAGCAAGTTATGATGTGCTGTTTTGAGTATGGGTATTCTACATTATGTTCAGAAAGCTTTTTGCTGCCTAAAAAATGCAGTTGAAATCTGATTATCTAGGCATTGGATGTCAATTCCAGGGGCTGGGGTGTGTGTGTGTGGAGAACTCTGTTGCTAGCATATGCATACATAGTTTTAATTTTTGTACCTTTTTTCATGCTAGCTGACTCTTCTCCTTGTCTCGCTCTGTTTTCCTGCTGCTAGTAGCCATTAGGCTGTTTAAAAACACGCGTTGGTGCCACTACAGATGTTTAAAATCCCAGTTGCAAACTGGAGTGGAAGTCATGAGCCAGAGGAGAAGCCCTGAAATGTAGAGATCCCCCTATTCCCTGAGACCTGGAGGACTAGGGAGATAATGCAGGAAATAACACTGTCAAGGGAAATAAAGGTGCTGGATATCAGTCATTTCCCTGGGACTCCACCCTCTAACACAGCAGAGTGTTTAATCATTATCCCTGATTTAAGTGGGAAGATCAAGCAACACAATTACTTTTAATATTTACTGCCCAGCATTGTCTCTCTGGTTACCTATCATTTTATATAAAAGATGAACATTTATCTTTTTTCCTGAAAAAGGTTTCTAGTTTAAAATCAAGAATGTCATTTCTGATTAAATCCCATTAAGCATTGGAGAATTAGCATAATGCACCAATGGATTTTGAAATTTCAATTCTGCTCAGTAGTTCTTCGTGTACTTGAATAGTCATCATAGCATGCGACTTAATTAGGCTTGCTCTGTTATATTCAGAATTTCTATAATAAAGTCAAATGGATTTTGGCAGTGTGCTAACTAACAGAAATCTATGATTATCTGGGTGAACAATTCACATCAGTTTTGGTAAAAGGAACACCCAGAATTGGAGTTGAGAATAGAAGCTGAAAATACTATGCAATAAGTATATATTTGGACATCAGATTGTGGTGCGCATGTAAATAAATGTCCAACAATGCAGAGCAGATGATATGTGACTCCTTGTTCCAAAGATCCTGGTGCTTATTTAAATCAAACCCAACAGCTGAGCCATCAAGCACTGGAGTCAATGTGATCAAAAAGTTTTATGCTATGAGGATGATTTTTAATAGCTCTACTGAAAGTTAAATCAATAGAAGAATGATCCTAATGTTTTCTTCTCTTCAAACTGTTTTTGACTGGTTAGATGTTGTATAACAATATTGAAATAAAGGCAGAATTCAAGAGATTATAAAGGAGTAAGCGAAGATCAATACTTCTATGTCCTTTGATTTTAATCCAGTTTTGATGAATTCATTTTAAGACTTTCTCTTTAGCCACGTAGTTAAAATATTTCATTCTTCTACTTAGTTGTTTGATGTGGTATTCTTCTTTGCTTGGTCTATTATATATATTTTATATACACATATATACACATACATACATACATACCACAAGAATAGGCAATTTATTCACAAGTTTTTCTTCATGATTAGTCTGTTTTGAGTCTTTCTTCCCAGCGTGGGTGACCTCTTTTCTTTCTCTTTCAGAGGTTTTCTTTCATTTATATATATAGTTGTATACCTTTTTTTTTTTGGTCTATTTAAGTACAACACAGTATCTTCCATTTAAAAAGTGCTATGATTGTAATAGAAAACAGTGGTGTTATTTTTCCGTCCAAATTTTATGGTCTGTAAGATGGAAGATACTTTGTTAATTTTCAGCAGGAATTACATGTACTAAAGGAAATGAGTATATTCAGATCTGTAGCAGGATAGGTAATGATGATTCTTGTTCATCATCTGTGAAAAGCATTTTAGGTAACATCTGCCTCATTCTTTGTATTCCTTTGGAAGAAAATTTCAGGAATCTTGTTCCCACATCATGGTATGTTTCACGATCTCTCTAGAATGTCCCTCATGGTACAGGGAAATCTTGCCTCTTCCAGTGATCTCAAGACCTTTTGTCTCAGAAACAAGGGCAGGTTTTGTGCCACAATCTCAAAATGCTGAAGTGAACAGCCATTTGGCACCTACCCTTAAGATGTATAAAAGAACTTTGGGAAATTATACAGCAAGGAACCTGCAAATGGTGTAGCTTTGCTCATGTTGCCAAATCAGATAATTTTGGTTGTTTTTTACAAGCTCATTGATAGATGGAAATGGTAGATTGTCTGTTTATATATTGAAGGTTTTGTGGTCTCTTCTGTTCATATTCACCTAGAGCAATTCTTGCCATTTGTTTTTAGTAGAGCTTGTTTAGTTTCATAGTTGATAGGTTTCTTTTGTAAGGAACTGAACATCTTCAAAATTTCCACTCAGAAATTTGTCTACTCTTGCAACTTGATACTGTTTTTCACATAATACATAAAACACACAATCAGACATAAGGCAACATTTGACAGCACTTTTTAAAAAAATCTTTCAAGATGGTCTTTTGGATAGCCCTTTCAATACACTCAGATTTAGACATTGAGGGGTTGCTCAGTGGGCACTAGACAATAAATACTTTTTTTCTTATTTACCATGTGGTCACTGATCTTCTTTTTTGGCTGATAAAATACAGTATAAAGGTCTGGATGCCAATATGAGAAGGCATCTTGTGCCAAACCTATGTCACCCTGCAGATTTTCCATAAGAAATAATAAGTGTTACTATAACTAAGTGGAGATATTCAAAAGTTTATCTGAGGGTGAATATAGGCCAGGGCATTGAAAATAAGGAGACAGAGTTATTATAAAACATGTCTTTGCATCCTTTGGATTCCACTCAGAGTATTCTGTAGCAAAAAGCATTTCATTGATCCTTATTGGCAAAGGAAAACAACTTTTCATGGTTTTATCACTCTTGCTTACAAGAATGCTTCCCCATTTGTACCTAATCTATTCTGGCAATATTTTTCCTCTGTCTTGTTCCCTTACTGTTGCCTTCATCTTGTTCCCATTCAATGAATGAATCAATCTTAAGTCACCTGTTGCTCTGCCAATGTTAAAATAGTGCTTTATTCCATAAGCTTACAGCAACCAGCAACAGCCACAAGTTATATAAAATCTGTAATACCTGCCATCCATTAAGTTGAAGGTGATGTCAGGTTATTGGTCATGGATGGATTAAAACAGCTTATTGGCCATTTTAGGCTGATATGAACATGCCCTCTCCTGTCTGGTCCCTGGTTAGCTTTCTCTGTCCCCATTCGGATTTACGTCCCTAAAGAGGTGTACTCTGCTAGATGGTCTAATCAGAATTGCACAATAGCACTAGAATGCGTACCCTGTAGTTCTGTAAATGTTATCTCTATGGTCCTTACTAGTTTAGCTCAAGGTTGAAACAGAAAAAAGTGGAGCAGTGCAATCAAACCACCCCTCATTACCTGCTGAATAAAGCATGGCAGTAATTGAAAGTTAGCATCTGTAGCCTGTAAGAAAAGAAGAGAAGTCCTAAATAAAAGTGCTGCTTGTGACTCAATTTCCTTTGCAACTCTGGTTTTTTCCCCCCCAAAGTTTCATTCAGCTCAGAATGGGATAAAAGAGGACGGACTTGGGAAGAAGCCTAGGGATGACAGAAACCTGCAATAAGGGCCATTACATACCCAGAACAATGCTGTGATTGGCAGGTGGGGTTTTTTTTGCTGGCTGGTGATATGCAGAAAATGAAGAATGAGAAAGCTAGAAGAATCAACTAGTGGCTTTGCCTACCATTGCAAGACAGCACCATTCAGCAGTGAGTCAGGATGGACATAAACATAGAGGCAAGTTAGGGATCATCTATGGTAGCCACACATTTCTGTCAGCTCAAACATAAGTGGGTAGCATTTAACTCAATAGTTGGGGAAAGCCCCTTAATGTGGGATTTCATTTCCTGCATTCTGCCATATTGGAAAAGATTATGTGATTTACTGCTTAAGTTTCTGAAAAAAATGATCAGTTGCAGTAGTGATGGCTTTTAGAGCATTTTACTGTAAAAGTTTCCATTCTTAATTGGATCATTATATCTGATAATGGGATATTCCAATCACAGTTCAGAATATTTTACTCATCAGTTTGAAATGTGAATATTTCTTTTTGTTTTCATTTTGCAAAATGCTGCTATGCCCTCCTGCACATTTGCATTATATCCCATTGTAGCTGTGCTTTTCCTCCTGTATTTCTAATATGGTATATACACATTCTAGACCCAGTAATATCACATCTCAATTAAATACCTCTAGCCTTCTTTCCTTGCATTCTTCTAAAATCAAAGAATGTCTAAAATCAAAGAACGTAGCTGAAATTTCTAGGAACATTTAATTTGTTGTTGGAAGATTGACAAACAACTTGGGAGAGTTATTTCACACCTTTATACTTTCTATTTCAATCTTAGAGAAAGCAGTGAACTGTTTTACTGAAAATAAAATACATGCCTTGTGAATCATACAGCTCTTTAAGATAAGAGCTTCTTATTAGCATTGTATGCTGGAAATGAAAAAGTAACTAATCTTGAGATATTTATCCCATAGACCTCATCAGCAGCCATTATTTGCTAGTAACATTTGGAATGTTAAACATTAAAATGTATTTATAGACTTGGTCTGTAAGCTTGGCTGTCTCCCAGGGAGAGTTCACTTGAGTTCATGTGAAAACTTGCATCTCTTAATTATACAACAAATTGTGTTCCATTACATTGCATGGAGAGTTCTTTCCCTATTCTTCATTTAGTGACATATTATTTTAATAACAGTACATATATAGTATATTGTGCTTTGTTACCCTAAGATGCTTCAATAAACAGTTGCTAAATGAAAAAAAGACTTTTTTTCTTTTCTTTGGCTTTAACATCATCCTTCTGCTATAGATGTAATCCATAGCCCACTGTTCCTTGCATACTCTGTGAATATGTGATTTTCTGTTGTGTATAATTTAATTCAGATAATTGTTCTAAGACGGGGCAGGAAACTGAATGGTAGTATTTTCGGCATGTAAAGAATTGCATGTTTATGTGTGAAATCTTCAATCAAGAGGGCTGAAGGGAACATAGTCGCTTTCCAATTAGACTCAACCTTCCTCATGGTAGAGGAACATAAGCTTCTCTATTCTTGGCAGTGAAGGGAGAATTTCATGTATGAATTCCTCTGCAAGTATAGAAACCTCCCCAGTGAAGCAAATAGTAAAGCAGCCCCCCCCCCCAGATCTGTATGAGTAAAGAACGCCTAAAGAGGGCAGAGGGGTACATTCTAGATAATTTAGTGTAGGAGTGTCCAACATTGAGCCTGGTAGGCACATGTGGTATTTTGAGAACACATTAAAGGTGTGGTGGTTATTGGTGGTGGGTATTTATCTGTTTAATAAGTCTGAAATCCAAATTATTTTTGGTGAAAGGAAATACAGTGGTACCTCTAGTTACGAACCCCCCTCCTTACGAATTCAAGATACGACCAGCTCCGGCCCCAAAAATTTACCTTGACATGCAAACTCCGCCTCTACTTACGAACCGGATTCGCGGCCATTTTCCCGGCTGCCATGCGGTCGCGGCTTCCTGTGGGCGAGAT